GATTTTTCACCACAGCCCACACACAATAAAGAATAATAATACAACACATGACGAAAACATTGCAGTTAGATGTATGAATAATTCAAGACAGTACAGAAAAGTAAAACCTATTCACTTTATTACAAGAATATGAAAGAGTTTGATTAGACTACACAACTTGTCCTGTCCATGTCCTCTCCAGGGTCTCTGTAAACTGGGTTCAGCTGGAGGTGATGATTACAGTTTGAGGCAGTTTGCTGAGGGCTCCACAGAGAAACTGGCCAAGCAGTGCAGAAAGTGAGTACTGACACAGTTTGTAGAATCTAGCAGATTATCATATGTAACATTAGAAAAAATGTTATGTAGAAAATCTGTGACAAAAATTAAACCGTTAACAGTATTTTTGAAATATATGCTAACACCTTATTAGTTATTGTCTAATTTTGATGCAAAATATCTTATGGATTTAATTCCCTAAGTAGGCTTCATAGTCTCAGAATATTGTTGTACCTTGTAATTATAGTTGACATCATCACTATGCACACTTGCTGTTAAATGTTTCCTTTTTTACTCCAGGTGGCTCTGTAATCCCCAGATTGATACCAAAACAAGGAAGTGGGCTATCGAAGGTCTTGCTTATCTGACCAATGATGCTGACGTGAAAGATGACTTTGTTGAGGATGAGCCTGCCTTGAAAGCCATGTTTGAACTGGCCAAGGTATGGACATAACAGCCAGAAAGAAACATACAGTATATCTGAATAGACATTGGTAATAACCTCTCTCCTTTCTCTTTATTTTTAGTCGAAGGATAAGACAATCTTATATTCAGTAGCTTGCACCCTGATCAATTGCACTAACTGCTATGATAAGAAGGAGATCATCCCTGAGCTGGTCCAGCTCGCCAAGTTCTCAAAGCAACATGTTCCCGAGCAACACCCTAAGGTAAAAAAAAAAAAGGAAAAGAAACTGAACCACTGTCATAACACAGTATATACAAACTGTCTCAGGCACAGCAGGAAATGTTACTCATGCATACACACACAATTTGCACACTCTCTTTTCTCAGGACAAGAAGGACTTCATTGAAAAGAGAGTGAAAAGGCTCCTGAAGGCAGGTGTCATATCAGCTCTTGCTGTCATGGTCAAAGCAGACAACGCCATCCTGACCGACCAGACCAAGGAGATGTTGGCAAGGTGGGAGAAGCATGGCATATCAGAATGATGATAAGGCATTTTCTGTTCCAACAAACACATTACATACTTATGATATCATCGTGAGTCATCACAGTTGTCTCATGACAATGATATCATGACATCCGTCATCGCCTCTGACGCAGGCTTTTTATTTTTTAGGCATGCCATTTCCATTTGCATTAAATGTTCCATACAGAGAGGAGGGGAATTCAATCTAAAACACAATTAAATACATCAAATGTCTTGTGTATTCCTCCAGTTTAAAGAGTACTGTAAAATATATGATTGCCCATTTCTATTTTTTATCTTCAGGGTTTTCTTGGCATTATCAGAAGATCCAAAAGATCGTGGTACTATTGTAGCCCAAGGTGGCGGAAAGGTGAGTGATAGAACCGAAAATCAATGTACATGTAATTAAGTCATAATGCAGTGACAGAAGGGTTGAGTGCATTTAAATATGTTGTACTTGTGGTTAAACTGGTTTAATACTATTTCCATATTGTTTGCCACTGCTTTTTTAAAAAAATCTAACTGTTGCGCAGGCTTTGATACCACTTGCTCTGGAAGGGACAGATACTGGGAAGGTGAAGGCCAGCCATGCCCTTGCCAAGATTGCAGCTATTTCTAACCCAGAAATCGCCTTTCCTGGTGAGAGGGTAAGCCATGAAAAGGAACTGCTTTGTTTATTTCTGTGTTGCCCCTTTTGAATGGGAGTGAAAATTCTACTGAGGCACAACATTCTTAATCCCCTTCACTACACACATTTCCTGTATTTGCTTTTCTGTCTGTATGCTGGAAAATGATGCAGAATTTATTTGTAGTTTCTGATTGCTATAATAGTTGTTGGTGGTTTACATTACATATCTCTTGGAGAGTTGCATATGTATCTCTGCAGATCTTATAGCTCTACAAGGGACTTTTTAGAATTCTTATTTCAGCTGTTCCTTGCTTGACAGGTGTATGAGGTGGTGCGACCTTTAGTTAGCCTCCTCCACACAGACAGAGATGGGATGCAGAACTTTGAGGCTCTGAAAGGCCTCACCAACCTGGCTGGTTACAGTGAAAAACTAAGGTGACGCATCTCAGCTTCACATGATATTACAATCACAATCACAACAGCTCATTCATCAGCTTTCAGTTCTTGCTTTATTGTGGTTATACTGTCTATACTGTTTACTTTCTAGAGTAAAGATTGTGAAAGAGAAAGCTCTGCCAGAGATTGAGAACTACATGTTTGAGGAGCACGACCAGATCAAACAGGCTGCCACTGAATGCATGTGCAACCTTGTGACATGTAAAGAGGTGAGAACAGACAAGTAGCTAAAATCCTCACATAATAACTGATGATGCATTATCAGCAAACGGTGTGTAAACAAAGTTTTCTAACAGGTATGGCCTCGTTAAAATTGACCAATTCTGTGTGTCATAGGTCCAAGAACGTTACCTGGAGGATGGCAATGATAAGCTGAAGCTGCTGGTGCTGCTATGTGGCGAGGATGACGATGATCTTCAGATAGCCGCAGCTGGAGCTCTGGCCATGATCACTGCTGCTCAGAACAAGCTCTGCAGCAAACTGACCCTTGTGGTATGTACAACAGTGTTCACTAGTGTCTTTAGTGTAGAATATGAATTACAGTGTCACGTCAGAGTCTATTATAAAGACATGTGTGCCCCATGATGAATTTTATGAAATCCCCTGGTTAGCTTTCACTCGGGAACTGATAACTTACACTGTCTGGCAGATGCAACAGTAGCAAATAACCTGGACAGCACATAGCACAACATGAGTCTTTGTTAAACACTAGCTGGCCTTTCTAACACCTAAACACTTGTGATTTAACAATACATCAGTGATTTACTACTGTACTTCTGTAAAGCTGGGAGAGGGGACTTAGTAACAGAGAAGTGAATATAGTAAAATGGTCAAAATGGAAGCAGCAGGGACTTTGAGCCCCTATAATTCTGCCTCCAAAACAGTGGATCCTGCTCTTCCCATAATGCAGCTCACTAGCATATTTTCATCCCCCCACTGCCTGTATTTCAAACTGGCAGATGACATTTTTTAGGTAGGGGATTACCCTGTGTCTAGTAAACTTATAGTTATGGGTAAAATCCCCTGGGAGATCCTCTTTAAAACAAAAAGAAAAATAAATACACAAACCCTAACTTACTCAAACCCTAATTTTAAGCCTCAGATTCCCCTGTTCAGACCTGTAGGTGTTAAAAAGGTCAAAACTACCAAGTTTAAGGCAGTGTATGACATTTTTAACTCATCATTCACACACTTTACAGTGTTACTTTGTCACTGACTGAGTGATTAATTTCTCCCAACAGACCACCCAGTGGCTGGAGATCCTGCAGAGGTTATGTCTTCATACCAACCCTAAGATCCAGCACCGTGGCCTTGTGATTATCTACAACATGCTCAATTCAGATGACAGTGAGCTGGCCAAGAAGCTGATCGAGAGTGAGATGCTGGAAATCCTCACAATAATTGGCAAGGCAGAGGACAATCCCAAGAGACAGGAGCCCATCGACACAGCACGCACATGCCTGGTTAAAGCTATGGAACTTGGTCTCATCAAACCCTTCAGCAGCCCTTCCTAGAATACTGCCAACAATCCAAACAACAGAAATGGACCTTTTTCTTTATATCCTCTGTTAAATAGAGACTTTTTTCCCCAAATGCTTTTTCCATATCAAAAATATTAAAGGATTCATCAACCTGGCTCCAAATCTCTATAAAGATATTGTCACACAGTGTAGCCTAAACCAGGGCCTTATTTTTAACAGAAGCACATATGTGGGATTTGCCACCAATACATAATTTTGTTCTTGTTTTTGCTGAACCATGACTATGAATTAATGCTGAAAGATTAACCAGGTTACATGAAGCTAAAAGCTCATAATTTCAGTTTCACTTTGGAAATAATACATATAAACAGACATAAACTCAACAGTAACTTAGGAAGTGAAAACTTTCTCGCAAAGGTCTCACGCATTTTGAGTGAGAATGCTACATGAATGAAAAAAATGGCATGATTAAATGACTAAATGACATTGTTCAGCATTTTGTGGAAACGCTGACTGAAAACACGGGTTCAATGAAATGTCATTACAGCATTTCCTATGACTAAATGCACAATAGAAAAACAGAAACAATACGTGAAGTGATAAGCTGGCATCATTATCTGACACAGCAACATCAGATGTTTATTGATGATGATAAAAAAGAATTAGACTCTGGAAAACAGGAGGTGTTGTAACTCAGAAATTTGCAATCTAAGGTGTTGAGTCCCTTCAAGAGGGACAGCGTGTCCATGCCAGCATTATAGCCTGCATATAACCACTGTGTTCACTCAATAGTATGACAATTTCGATCATTATAAGTGAAGCACTGCCACGAGCACGGTAACCGCACTGCAAGGTGGAGTCTTCCAGGAAGTGATCTGTCCTGATGATTGTGACTGTCCTTCACTTACTGTAATGGTGCACGTTCAAGTAAAATGACTATTAACATTCTAGATAACTATGGTCTGTATGTGTGTTTGAGTCTAAACGACTGAAACTGGCACATGGCTTGCACTTAAATGAAAAATCGAAAAGCTCGCAAGCTCTGCTTTTTTTCCCCTTATCAATCTCAGTCAATTAAAAATGATTTAATTTACTATTAGTGAGCATGGAAGTTATGAACATCGAGATAACTCTCCGCTAATGGACCGAAGGGGTGGGGGTGGGGGTGGGGGTAGGGTAGGGTAGGGTAGGCTGGGGTGGTAGTGTAATTGTTTCTGTCTCTGCTGAAGGATTGGTGACAGTGAAGTTAACGGAAGGCTGGGACCAATCTTTATCCGACTTTTTATTGGAGCTTTCTTATACCAACTAGGTAGGTAGATTAACAGACTGACTATATAAGCCATTATATCGATAGACCCCTCATAAAACTGCTACGAACTTGTGCAACAGAAAACTGCTCATAGAGGTCGCGTGGTTCGCCTGTTCAACAACAACTCCTGCACTTCATATCACCATTAACCAGAGCGGATTATTGAAAGTGAAGTAAGTATACTACTCGGTGCATACTTGTGCATGGTGGTGATGGGAGGAAAAGCGCTGTGTACATTGAGTCTTGCTGTAAAAGAGATCTGAATAGAAGAGAGGAAACATGTGTGAAGGGAGAGACTGGATGTGGTCAGAGGTGATGAAGGGAGGATTCTTGATCAAACATCGGCAGCTTAAAGTTTGCGTGGTGTGCAGAGCGTTGGCTGTTATCAGTCTATCTTAAATAAACGGTGCCCGTAACCTGTCTTTTATGTCAGCATCCAGGGAAGAGTTAAATGAAAAGTGGTCTGACGATGGCGATGCTGTTTTTTTGGTTGTGCAGAACAACGAGTATACTAAAAACTGATCACAGTTATCACCGGATGATGAATGATCTGGACTCTTGTTTTCTGTGTGGTGTGTTACAAAATGCTTTGTGCCCCATTATTGAGGGGGACTGTTTGTTTGCGGTTGATTTGATGCCACTTTGGCTTTTGTGTAAAATGAAAATTCAGTAAATTCAATCTCTCTCTCTCTCTCTCTCTCTCTCTCTCTCTCTCTCTCTGTCTGTCTGTCTGTCTTAAAGCCACTGCACAGACTATAAAGCACAAACCACTTCCCATCAACAGGAACACTGGCTTGGCTCAGTGAGGCTCGTCGAAAGTGAGTGTCAATTTTAGTTTGTGTTTGTATTTGTGTCTCTCATATTCTTCTTGCTAAGTTTAGCTCTGCGGTTGCAGTTCGGCTGTCGTTGTTTGTGGTGAGGTGTTAGTTTAGTGTTAGTCCCGGGACCGGTAGCAAGTTAATAATTTCCAGAGTATGAAACTGTCAGAAACTTTTTAGCCAACATGTCAGAATGAACAGCAGGGATTTCCCTTCCATTATTAGAGTGGAGACATGCAAAGTCCTGCTAGACTGTTCCGTGTTCCCATAACGTGTTTGGCCAAGTGACTAATCTAAAACAAAAAAAAAATGTGCTGAGACACGTTTTGCTGTCATTCGCATCATTTGTGTGGGTCAACCTCTCCCTCCTCCGTCACATACACAGCTGCAGTCACAGTGAACCAGGGGAAGTCTTTAAACAACCCCACAGATCCGGTGTGGGGACCTTTTTTGCCACCACAGGTCTCGACCACTGAGACACTGAGAGTCCATTAACGCAAACTGGCCAGTATGTCGACTTTATTTTATTATTATTGTTTATGTTTAATGTATTTAGTAGCCTTTTTTTATATATATATATTTTTTCCACATCATAATTTCAAAATCTGAATATTCTTAAGATTAACTTTTTATTTTTTATTTTAAGATTAAAAGTTCAGCTCTTTGAAAGGGTCTAGGCTCCTTGCATTAAGATGCTATCATTATATGAGTAGCATAACATGGTCTTGAAATGTCAACAATGTTTATCGCAAATATTGTCTAACAAAATAAAAGTAGTTATGGTGACAGGCCTACATATGGGAACGTGTATAGAGGGAAAAGCAAATCAGGATGTGCTGTGAATATATAGGCTCATGAAGATCAAACTGACTAACTTTAATGCTGAAATGTATATCCATCAGGAAGTGCGAGGGGAACAATATATGTGGCAGCGAGCAGGGTCGGATTGGGTTTTGTGATCCAGAAAGCCGTCACAGCACTCATGAACAGTAAGTTTCTGATAATTCACCAACTCAAACTGTGTTTAAAGACAACCACCAGAGAGCCTTCGCTTTAATTTGTGTTTTTGTCCTGACAGTGCTTATCTCCCTTCTGCTGCTGTTGGTTAGTGGTGTGCAGTGCTTTGCAGTCACAGCAGGTCATGGTATACATCTTCTCATGCTTATAAGATATTTATTATTAGATTATAAGATATTTCACAGATATGTTGTATGTTACAGGTGGAAACACATCTGTGTATTACTGCGAGGTTCCAGGATGTGCTTCCAATGTGACAAAAATATTTTGCAAAGACGAGCTGGTCGTCACTGACAAACACATTCCAGACTGTGCAGGCCACCTACCACCACCCAAGTCTGTTTGTCAGCATGATGGTCGGGCATTCGTCTCCTCCGATACAGCTGATCCCTGTGAATTTGAAGGGGAGGCTTATATTGAGACGGGGAAGTGTACAGGTGTTTACTTTTACTTTCTAAAGCCCTTTATGTAGGCTTACTGTATAATGCAGTTTTCTTGCAATGATTCTACCATTCTTCAACTTACAATTTATTTTCATTTGATATTCCTACAAACTGCACATATTGACTTGCTTACATGCACATTAGTATCCCTGTTCGGATGGAGTTTTTTTGGGTTGATTTTTATGTGTAAACACCCTTATGTTTGTTTCAGAAACCTGGGTAACCCCAGTGCTGTTTTTGCAAAACCAGAATAAGTGTAACTCTGATAGAGATGGAAATACAGTGTCATGTGTACCCCTCATCCAGGTTTTTGATCACTGTGTGCCATGTGAAGTTGTTAAATAATGAAATGATGATCTATGCGCTGCTGGTAAGACAAAGAGGCCAAATCAAGTAAAGAGGTAAAGAGTGGTTAACGCAACAGAGTACAGTAACCATTTCCACTTTCCCTGGGAGTGATGCAGAAGTGCTGTGGTGATAAATTGCAATTTTGATTTACATGTATTCTTATTTAGATGTGACCATTCAATATGTGATGACTTCACGCTTATTCTGTTAATCTCACAGCTAATTTTCTGCTGCTGTCGTCCGCTGCTGCTCTTGCTGCTTCTGCAGCAAGGATGCAAGGATTCATCAGTCCCAGCTGAGGGTGCTGTTTGAAAACATTTTACTTTTCGAGGGAAATTCCATCACTGCTCACTGCTAAAACTCAACACCCACCTTTTAGCTGCTAAACTCTCTGGTGTCACTTTTTAAAATTTTTTAAAATTTGTACTCTTCATAAAACACCTCTAATGCCAAATTAGGCCCTAAATTAATATTTATTCCCTTTGAAGTGTGTTTCTGTTCAATATGCTCCGTAAGCAGAATACTGATGATACTGACGTTAAATGAGATTTTTACACTCAGCACATTTTCTTGATTAAAAACGAAATAAATAATCCTATTGTATATAGTTGAATATCTTCTCTGGTGTCCAGTAACCGATGCTCTTCTGTCTGATAACACTTTGTAACACTTCTTTTGTTTTTCTCAATTAGCCACCAGTGACATATGTTCTCTTACCCGTGGTAAGCTTTTCCTGCAGACACACACTTTATATCATGCTGCTTGCTGTTTTGATATGATCATTGATCATAGTTTTTCCTCTTTCCTCCAGGTACCAAAACACCAGAACAGAAATCCCTTGAAAGCATATGGATCGGTAGGTTCTGAACACCAGTAAATCTGATATTTAGCCTGCAATCACCATGTTTCTTTTGCCTCTGGACAAGTATCTGTCAACAGCATCATCTTTCTTTCAACTCTTTTAACTCATGTCTTTTTTGGCTTTTTGCTACTATTTAAATTTGCTTTACTCTGCCTGCCTTTCTCTATCTTCTTGCTTTCGCTCAGGACTCAAATGCTTGTCTTTCAAATGCTGACAATCAGGTGAGATCTAAATTTTACTGTGTGTTGTATTTATTGTGTATTTATACAATCATCTTAAATATCCACCTCTTGATTCCACATGTGTAGTGCTGATAGTCCTGGTTTGCCTGGTTTCCCTGGTTTGTCTATTTATATATATATATAAAAAGAGACAAAACAGAGAACAAAATCAACAGGAGGCCAGGTAAATGAAATAAATCATTATTCACAAAGTTTCTTTATTCATATGTTGTGTTGTTTTGATATCACATTACCAACATGTTCTCGTGTTTAATCTCAATTTGTTGCAGTGACTCTGGTGTGGCTGAACCTCTAAGAGACATGCAAAGCTCTGGAAACACCAGTGAGAGGTTAGTGAACATTAAATACGCATCATATAGGCCATAGTATGTGCAAATGTAGATGTAAATATGCTCATTTTGAGGTGACTTTTTACTCCTGTAGAGATACCTCTGGTGCTCCTGGATTGGATGACAGCAGCTCTCTTTCCCAACGTGACCATGGAGCCTGAAGTTCTGCAGCTTCATTTCTCTTTTCCTGTTTCATTTTTGCTTTTAATGTTAATAAATATGTGAATATGAAACAGGCTGCCTTTTTTGTTATTGTAACCCTAGCGTTCTCCAGGCTCTCTGGGCTGTGGGTGACAAGCGGGCTACAATTTTCTTTTAACTGTCTTCTTTAGTCACCACCAACACAGTAGGACTCAACTTTATCCTACTCTTAGCAGGACATGTGCATCATACATCCATGATGTGCATTGAATAGGCTGTCACATTCACACCTATCCTCCTGCAAACAATGTTAGGTGGGAACCAAAAGCGCTCCACACTAAAGGGGTTGTAAATAACCAACTTAAATGTTACACCTACAAATTACATATGAAATAATAGGGTCCTGCAACTGATTATGAAATTATATTATAAACTCAATGAAGCAATATTAATTAATAAAATATTTTAAAAAATAAATAAAAGGTTATATTATTGTTGCACAAATGTTCACCACAAGTTACTGTATATTAATATGTTGCACTAAGTGTCAGGGTTGCCAAACCTCTATCTCATGCAACAGAGGAAAACACAGCTGGGTATGGAGGACCAGGCATGTCAAAGGAAAAGTGATAAAGCATTTCCTTAATTTCATATTATAATTGGCATTAAAAATGGATTAATCCATCAATAAATACTTCCCTTTTCAAGAATTTATAAATGAACTATTAAGCCATCAATAAATACGATCATTAATACTCATAAAATGCACCATTTGTAAATACATTTATTAATGAAAGCTCTCTGATTGGTTGGAGAGCTAACCAATGGGTATTACCAGTACTGAAGGCACAGAGTGTCACAGAAAGGCTAAATGATTAAGCTAATTGATTAGCTAAAAGGAAAAGGAAAATTTGAAGAAATTTAGGAGAGAATCCAGGAATATATTCCCACTTTCAAAATGCCCTTTCAAATATTTTTTTTCAAATTCTATTATATATTCATGACTTAATAAATATATTTACAAATGGTTTATTTAATGATTTTTTTATACTGTTTTTAAATCTTAAATATTTACTGAAGGGTTAATCGCTCATTTATAAATTATTTTTGCAATTCCTATTTTTAATTCCTATTAAAATATGAAATTATGGAAATGTTTTATTACTTTCCCCGTGACATCCCTGGTCCTCCATAAGCTGGGAGAGAAAACGGATATAATATCAGACTAACTTTGGGTAATGAAATTAGAGAAATTTGTTGCTGTGGGCTCTCCACTCCTGCTCAGGCCTGCCTGCAGAGGGCGTCTCGCTCTTCATATTTCTATCCAGTGGCGCACTGAATGGCATGGTTGTATGTAAAGAGTCAGGGCAGGGACACGGAGACACACAGGGCTTCTTGCTGCTCGCAGTAGAGGAGTGAGTCTTTAGTAGTCCACAGTCTGCCTGTGGTAGAAGTAAACACTGCGTATATTTTTCTTCACCGCATTCATTTATCGGTTGGGGATTATCTGCTTGAGGACAGACCTTTCTGTGAGGACTGCAGCAGCCACTCTGAGGGAAATATTATTTCTGCACGACACTCAAAAGAAGACGACTGTGTGGTCAAGACTACTGTGAGTTTGATGCATCATGCGGAACACTACAGGCTTCTTGTAAAGGTTTACAACGCTGACACACACAGAAAAACCACCTCGCATACTGTGACATTTCGTGTTTCAGAGTGTCACTTCTCAGGTTGTCTGTCGCGACAGGTGAAAAACTGGAGGTGTGCGCTTCCACTGAAGCCAGTGATCCAGCTGTTCAGTTTCCTGGAGAGAAACGGGGGTGTCATACCCTGAAAACAAACAAACAAAAAAAAAACAAACTCACCTGACCTTAGCATAGAGGCTGGATTTCTCTACCAATTCCCCTTCAACTCTGAATATGTTTTGTATGATTGGATAAAGGGCAGAAGGTCAGATTGATTGTAAGCATAATGTTTTTCCTCTTGTAGCACGGTTTGAATCACATTTGAAGTGAAGGTGAGAATAAATGTGGTGGTGGTTCCAAGTAATTTGAAGTTCACCCTTGAGCTCTAAATTAAATTCTTGCTGCTATAGTTCAAATAAAGCCTGTTGTAGGACCAGTTTGTCCCACAGTGTAGCTATTGGACAGTCACTTGTGTTTGTTATTTGCTGTATCAACATTTACATTTTTGCTGCTGTTTTCTAATTAATGGGGAAGTTTTTTTTTCTTGTCTTTGTTTACATCACTGCAACTCTGCCTTGCACATTTAGTGTGAAACTGGAAGTCTGTCCAGTTCGATGGGAAATGAGGCAAGCAAGTTGAAGGTTGTGTAACACAGTGAGGGGCAGAGTCACTTACAGGACAATAATGGAAATCTGACCGTAACATCCTGGTTTGAATGCATGTGGTATAATTCTAATGTGAAGACCTCTTCATGTTTAGATATTGTCACCACGTGGCTCAGTTGAGCCTTTTGTGAGCCAAATAACTGAGAAACTCACACAGCTGCTTGACACCCTTGACACACTGTGCTGTAGACGAGGTGACAGATTTTCTGTATATTGTCTGGGTACATTATTAGAAGCTGCACAATGTGGACCAGCCTCTTTCATTTACTGGCTCAGTATCTGTCACATTAACACTGCTCTTTACAGTGAACTGCTACATTTCTCCTCCAGCTACTTGGCCGCCAGGCTCCTCATGATTCTTCCACCCTGACCCGTCCCACCACCAAAAAAATTAGCTGGGCTGTGACTGTGAAATAGCTTCATCAGTGCAAAGAGAAAAAGAGATATCTGGTTAAGTTTGTGAGAGCTGCCCAGTCAGAGGGACGCTGCGTTCGCAAGCTCAACAACAGCAGTGTTCAGTGAATGATCTGGACTCATTGGTTATCATTCAGTGGCAGTTCAACTGTTGGGCTTGTGTTTATTTGACATTATATCGTTGACATAATACTGAATTTTAATGGACAAAATTATATTTGTGTGTCTGATTTTTTTGCTTTGTCATAATGATGGATGAAAGGTTTTGGCACGTTATGATTTAGATTTTTCTTCATCTGAGGATCTTGAACAACTTTAATGAGAAATGTTTCCCTTTGGAAATAACATTTTTTAATTAATGCAGTAGAGTTTTCTGATATAGCACTGTGTGTGACTTATTTAAACTGTAAGCCATTTTAGCTGAAAACATCTGGTCACAGGGCATCCTGGGGGTTCAGCTGGCTGAAGTGTAAAGTGTCATCGCTCTGTCCTGGGTCTGATTTTGCCCTGTGACCCTTGTCATGCTATAGTCCTGTGGCTCTGCATGACAAAGCAGCGGACAGAGCAACACATGTTCAAATATCTACTGTTCCTTGAGAAATTTGTCTCACACACTGTCACTAATTTGGATCAAAGTTTGTGTGCACCTGTGTTTGGAGAAAATGAATTTATCATGCAAATCTGACTGGCTTCCCGTCAGAGTTTAGCACACATATGTTAGCCTGTGGTTCCCTTTATGATCTCCCTGTTTTCTTCCTCATTTGACTGGGCGGCAGTGGAATCGGTCCAGCTTGGGCCAGGTTGGTCAGTTTTGCCGCAGAGGATGTTTGAAAGGGAAAATGGCTCATGCAAATCCCCCTGCTCTCTCTTTGGGGATAACACCTGAGCTCTTCTGCTGCTCTGCACACTGCCCTTGTACTGATATGTTGCTTGTCAGAGTGAGCAGCATCTGCACATTATGTAATATTTTCCATTTGAGTAGCAGCAGAAGTGCCACAGCACTGCAGAGCCAAAACCTTGTCAAGACACATCATATTTACTTTTTGACCCTTAGCTTTTTTTTTTCCCTTCTTGGGCTTTAGCTGTGGCGGATCAGAGTCTTTCTTAAATTAATGATTGTATTGTGACAGTGACTGTAACTCTATACAATAACACTGGCTCAGAGCAGAAGGCCACATTTTTAAACCAACATTAGTGCATCTTTTTCTTGCTGTATAAGCTTCCTTTGAAGAGGTAGCACAACAATTAACAACTGTAAGGTTTTTAGTGCTGTCTTGTGATTTTGGGTCAAAGAGCACTCTGTGCACTGTGCTCGTACTGTACCATGGGATCCCAGCAGTGATAGGACCAAAATAACAGGCATATGAGGCTTATTAAGACAGTTACATAAGTCAGTGCCCTGAACAGTAGTTCTCAGCTCTCTTTGCCTCATTCCTGATAATGGACTGACTGACCCATGTGCCTCATGTCCGCACGCAGGGGTGTGCCCCCCCCCCCCCCCCTTGCTAGGTCCAGTTACAGTTAAGATAATAATCTGATAAAAGAAAAAAAAAAGCCACACTGTGTTGTGATAATGAATTCTGGCAACTCATAATGTTTGTGTCTGTTTAGTGTGAACTCTCTTCCTACTACACCCACTCTAATTCTTCTCTCAGAGGATCCTCTCTCACCACCGTCTACAGTTATGCTCTGGGCCCAAGTGCTAATGTGCTACGTCCCAGCTGCAGTGAGCTGAAAGCACGACAAGACTGTTTGTTTTCTTGCCAGAATTCGCCATCTCGGGTTATTCAGCACCCCGTCAACATTTTTCTTGTTTCCTGACTCAAGTTTAGTCGTAAGACAGGAGTATATAAAAACAAAAGTTTCTAATTATTGAGTCTTGTGTGTTGTGCTGCTTAGCTGTGTAAGTCAGTACCAGGCCTTTAGGGGTTGCTACCAATTATTACTTTTGAATAGGTTAATCTTGTACTGTTATGGTTAATCAATTACTAAATTTGTAATTTGTCCTATAAAATGTCAAAACAGCAAAAAGTATTAAATTCACGCTGACGAAATTAAAAATTATTGCAACATGATCACACAATATAAACATTTTTGATTAAAGAATTCTCTTCAAGATATGCACTGAGTGAGATTTTATAGCTCTACTGAGGACACTTTTCCAAATTCACTCTATCATATCTTTGGTATTTCTGTGCTTCAATTTCTTGTTACACATGCGCTGATACTGACACTGATAAATCGGGGATAAGCTAATCTTAGCCATCTCGAAGG